TAGATAGATAGATAGATAGATAGATAGATAGATAGATAAATAAATAATCTGAGTCTCAAAGGTGCCAGTGGTCATTTGTGAGTACATGGTGCAGTGACCCCAGTTCTAGGAACAGCTAAGATATTGCTGCTGCAACAGATGAACCAGGGGTTTCTATAAAAGAATGAACACAAGAGGATGAACCATAAAAGGGAGTTGCAGTCAATGACATAATCACAGAGGAGGGAGCTGTGGCAGACAGTTTCCACAGTTGGAAAAGGGTGGATAGTCCTCTCCAGGTTGGTAGTAAGGTACTGCCTCAGCTGAAGGAGTTCAAGTTCCTCAGGTTTTATTCATGAGGGAGGGAAAATGGAGCATCAGATGAATGAAGATTAACAGACGGATCAAAGCATCTTTTGCAGTTTGTGGACTCTGCACCAGTCCGTTGTGGTGAAGAGGGAGCAGAGCCACAAGGTGAAGCTATCTACTTACAAGTCAATGTTGCTATACTCACATATGGTCATAATCTCTGGGCAGTGACCGAAAGATCTAGATTGCAGATACAAGTGGGTAAAATTAGTTTTCTCCAAACTCTCCCTTAGAGATAGGGAGAGAAGCTCAGTTCTTCAGGAGAAACTCGGAAGTAGAGTTGTTACTCTTCCACATGGAGAGGAGTCAGTTGAGGTGGTTTGGCCATCTGGTAAGGATGTCACCAGGACACCACCCTAGGGAGGTGTCCTGGGCATCTGACTGGGGGAAGACCCCAGGAAAAACCCTGGACATGCTGGACAGACTGTTTCTTAATTGGTCTGGGAACACCTTGAAGTCCTCCCTGAAGAACTACAAAATCTGACTGTGGAAAGACATTTTATTATATATAATTATGGGGGGGTGCTTCGTGTGTTTGGGATTGGGGGCCCGTTGCTACAGGCTGTTTGGTCCCTACAAGCGGTGCAAGAGTTTGGTTTGCCTTACCGGTAGTAAGGTCAGGTATACAGAAACCTGTCCATCCAGGCCTTATGTCATGAATAATACTTAAAAATCTAATTCTAAAATAAAAACTTACTTTGTTTTCCCTTGCAGGTAGAGAACTTGACTGAGGAGCAGAAAAATGGTAAGAAAACTCCAAACAGAATTCTACGTATATTACATCTATAATTTTGTCAACAAAATTTACCGGTACTGTATATTAACCCATCTTGAAGTGAGTTGTCTCCAAATGTTAGTTATTTGTTGAGATACAGCTTTACCCTAAAAGTTTTATTCACATCTTTCCAGTAGTTCATGAGGTATTTTGCTTTAAGAGCAACAGGTTTGATCAAAATAGTTAATGGAAATGTTTTGAACACAAATCTCACAAAGTCTGTTTGTGCTCAAATTACAAACTGGGTACTGGGTGCTGCTATATTTTGAAATTTATCTAGATGTCAAACTGACTGAGTTATAGTCATTTTTGTGTTTGCTAGTGTTTTTAGGTGTAGATTACTAATTACATTCTGGAAGTATTTAGAAGAACACAGAAAGTGGAAGAACTTTCTGCTTGTGGTTCAAGAGACATTTTGCTAACAGAAAGACACTCAATCAAACATGTTACTGTCCAACTTTTGCTTTTGGGTAGTGGGTAATAACTGTAAAATATATATTCTTCTACTGGATTTTCCCTCTTCAGGGTCACCACAGCGAGTCATCCTCCTCCATCTTACTCTGTCCTCTGCATCCTCTGTCCTCACTCCAACTACCTCCATGTCCTCTCTAACTGCATCCATACATCTCCTCTGTCTTTTTCCTGCAGCTGCATTTCTAACATCCTTCTACCAGTATACCCACTGTCCCTCCTCTAGACATGTCAAGACCATCTCAGTCTGGTCTCTCTAACTTTATCTCCCAGTTGTTCAACCTGTGCTGTACCTCGGATGATCTCATTCCTAATCTCATCATCCTTGTCACTCCTAAGGAGAACCTCAACATCTTCATTTCTGCCACTTCTAGTTCTTTCTCCTGTCTTTTTGTCAATGGCGCTGTCTGTAAGAAATATGAAGCTGCATCAATGTTACTGAAGACACCTAGATAATCTGAATTCATGTTGCTGTCCATGGATTTGGCAGGGGTCAGCATTACAGTGTACCAGTTTACCATCTCAGTTTCTGTATGTTTTACCATCCTCTTAACTGCTGTTCTTTTCAGAGTTCAAGGCTGCCTTTGACATCTTCATACAAGATGCTGAGGATGGCTGCATCAGCACCAAAGAGTTGGGGAAGGTGATGAGGATGCTGGGGCAGAACCCAACCCCTGAGGAGTTACAGGAGATGATCGATGAGGTGGATGAGGATGGTAATATACTGCCATCTACTTTACTAGATATGGACAAAGTGTTACTGCCTTTTCCTGTCATTCAGAATACAAGCAAAATGTTGTTTCAGGTGTTGCCATATTGTATTTTTAAAACTAGCATATTGCTGATTACTAGGGATGTAGGGATGTACCCTCTGTACGCAAGATCTGTCCAACTCATTAATGGCCTGTCAATCATAATGTAACTTGACACTTTTTGTTAAACTTCAAATAACATTAAGTCCAACAGACACCATTGTAATTTCATGTGTTCTTATGGTGTAATCACTGTCATAGAATATGATGGTCATGTTTTTTTTCACATTCAGGCCATGCAAGAGTTAAAAAAAAACATATAAAGATCAAACCTGAGCACACAACCGATGATTATCAAAGGCTGATGATATCATGCCAAGGACCAAGCTTAAGCAAGAGTGTGGCGCTCAGTGCGCTTTTCCTCTCTTCCCTCTTCAAGAACAAAGTCAAAGTCCTCACTGTCTGACTCACACTCAGTTTTTCTTCCACGTCTCTGCCTTTGTGCTTCCATTCGATGTCTGAGAAGTTTGACTCCTCCGCTTCGTCTATTTCTGGATATGTGGCTCCATCCCTCACCTTAAACAAAAGCTGCAGATCCAGGTTCAAAAATCGCTTCATTGTTTTGACTCAGACACACTAAAACTGACTAACCACTAAACACACTCCATTATACCCGTAAAAATCCAAACATGCAAAATATCACAAATCTCTCAAATCTCATTACTCCCTCTCCCTCTCGCTGTCTCTCTATTGACGTTAAACTTCCATCAACTTCTTTATCTTTTTTTCCCTGTACTTTTTTTGGTGCTTGACAAACAACTTCAGGCCTCAGTCAGTAAGAAGGTGGGGGTTGTTTGTTTGGCGGGGGGGATGAGAACAGATGGGAGATGGTGGTGTTTCCTCCTTGAGACTGACCATCTTTGCAGCTGCCTCCAGCCTTGCACAATAAATATCTGGAGATCTTGCTTGATGAATTGAACATACAGCAGAAATGTAGGAACCACCCGAATCAACAAAAATCAATACCTAAAGGAAATTATATGAAGTGTAATTTTATTTGTTAGTCAAGAAAATGGTGCAGAACTTAAAAAAAAAAGGCACCGCAGGCAGACACTAGGGGACAATTGTCCTCGATGGTTTCAGTCAAGTTCAGGCTTTCAGTCCATTACACATAAACATGAAACTTATATTTTCTGATAATGCATTTTGAATTCTGATTGTTGATTGACGTTGCTGAATTCTTCTGAAGAAGCTAAATCTAAATGGCTCGAATCATTTTCATTTAAACCAAATAGTTCTATTTTGGTCTGGACCCCCAGATACCCCCACCACCCCCACCCCGGGACTATTTTTTCCAGTTCCCCCTTTTCACTCTGTGACAGGGGACAAATAGAACATAAGAAGACAAAAAAATAGAAGAGTATATCAAAGTACATTTAAAAAAAACACATTTGATTGAATTAAAGAGATAATATTGTGAGGAAATAATTGTAAATAAAGATGAACATTTCAAGAAGTGTGAAAGTTACAAAAACTGAAAGTTATCACTATTTATTATAGAGCTTATGATTTTTTGAATGAACGGTTAAAATAGCACAAAGTGTGCAGAAGCATGATGGCCAAAAGCGTAAGTAAAAACCATAAATCTGAAGACAAGAGTAAATGCATCACCTTTCACTTCCAATGATTAAGCTGAGTTCTGACACCATCTCATTGTAAAAATGAGTAGTTAGAAAATTTAGAAACTGGTCTTTGATGGTTGCTTCATAACATCCAGCTTCATGTTCCTAGGCAGCGGCACAGTTGATTTTGATGAATTCTTGGTCATGATGGTTCGCTGCATGAAAGAAGAGAGCAAAGGAAAATCAGAGGAGGAGCTGGCTGAACTTTTCCGCATGTTTGATAAGTAAGTTTGTATTTCCTTTTGTTCACTTTGCACAGAGCAATTGCAACATGATAAAGAAGTACAGCCATGTGGTGAAAGGCCCAGCATTCAGTGAATGAATGCCTATTGCTCTCTGCTTTTCCCAACAGAGTTTTAGACCAATATCATCTTATGCTGAGATAGCCATTTTTGTATTGACTGTTTATTAGATGTTATAGCTATCTTAATGTAGGTCAACTCCAAATGTTCTGCAGTTACAGATGTACATCAAATGATTAGCTTCTGAGCATTTTATTAAAAGTAGTTCACTGGCTTGTTCAAGAGATATTTTGCTAACAGACAGAGAAAGGAGCACATACCCATATACACAAAACTTCAGTGATAGGCAATACATGTAGGGGAAATCAGTGATGAATTCTAGACATGCTTTATTTATTCTAGTCAAACTTTACAAACCGGATTCCAAAAAAGTTGGGACACTAAACCAATTGTGAATAAAAACTGAATGCAATGATGTGGAGATGGCAAATGTCAATATTTTATTCGTAATATAACATAGATGACAGATTAAAAGTTTAATCTGAGTAAATGTAACATTTTAAAGGAAAAATATGTTGATTCAAAATTTCACAGTGTCAACAAATCCCAAAAAAGTTGGGACAAGTAGCAATAAGTGGCTGGAAAAAGGAAATTGAGCTTATAACGAACAGCTGGAAGACCAATTAACACTAATTAGGTCAATTGACAACATGATTGGGTATAAAAAGAGCTTCTCAGAGTGTCAGTGTCTCTCAGAAGCCAAGATGGTAAGAGGATCACCAATTCCACCACTGTTGCGCAGAAAGATAGTGCAGCAATACCAGAATGGTGTTACCCAGCGTAAAATAGCAAAGACTTTTAAGTTATCATCATCAACCGTGCATAACATCATCAAAAGATTCAGAGAATCTGGAACAATCGCTGTGCGTAAGTCTCAAGGCCATAAAACTCTACTGGATGCTCATGATTGCCGGGCCCTTAAACGTCACTGCACCTCAAACAGGAATGCCACTGTCAAGGAAATAACAGAATTTGCTCAGGAATACTTCCAGAAAGCATTGTCAGTGAACACAATCCACCGTGCCATCGGCCGTTGCCAGCTGAAACTCTACAGTGCAAAGAGAAAGCCATTTCTAAGCTAGCTCCACAAGCTCAGACGTTTGCACTGGGCCAGGGGTCATTTAAAATGGAGTGTGGCAAAATGGAAGACTGTTCTGTGGTCAGATGAGTCACGATTTGAAGTTCTTTATGGAACACTGGGACACCATGTCATCCGGACCAGAGAGGACAAGGATGGTCCAAGTTGTTATCAATGCTCCGTTCAGATGCCTGCATCACTGATGGTATGGGGTTGCATGAGCGCTTGTGGCATGGGCAGCTTGCATGTCTGGAAAGGCACCATTAATGCAGAGAACTATGTTCAGGTTCTAGAACAACATATGCTCCATCTAGACGTCATTTCTTTTAGGGAAGACCCTGCATTTTTCAACACAATAATGCCAGACCACATTCTGCAGCAATCACAACATCATGGCTACGTAGGAGAAGGATCCGGGTACTGAAATGTCCAGCCTGCAGTCCAGATCTTTCACCTATAGAGAACATTTGGCGCATCATAAGGAGGAAGGTGCGACAAAGAATGCCCAAGACGATTGAACAGTTAGAGGCCTGTATTAGACATGAATGGGAGAGCATTCCTATTTCTAAACTTGAGAAACTGGTCTCCTCTGTCCCTAGACGTCTGTTGAGTGTTGTAAGAAGAAGGGGGGATGCCACACAGTGGTAAAAATGGACTTGTCCCAACTTTTTTGGGATTTGTTGACGCCATGAAATTTGGAAACAACAGATTTTTTCCCTTAAAATGATACATTCTCTCAGTTTAAACTTTTGATCTGTGATTTGTGTTTTATTCTGAATAAAATATTAGATGTTGGCACCTCCACATCATTGCATTCAGTTTTTATTCACAATTTGTTTAGTGTCCCAACTTTTATGGAATCTGGTTTGTACTTGTGTAATCATGCAACTGTTTAAACACACTTTAGTTTACGTATCTGACTGTACATTTCTCTTTATTTAAGGAACGGTGATGGTTACATTGACTTAGATGAACTGAAGGGAATGCTGGAATCCACCGGAGAGCCCATTACAGAAGATGACATTGAGGAACTGATGAAAGATGGAGACAAAAACAATGATGGCAAAATTGATTATGATGGTACGGTACCAACTGCACATGGTAATGCAAAACAAAAGATGATCACTCTAGATCGACAGTTATTTTATATCTTTCTTAGTGGCTGTGTAGTCAGTTAACGTAAACTCAAAGGTTATTAAAAAAGCTCAGACAGAACAGGATTTTGAGGAAGTATTATACTTACTCTCTATGTCATATAAACCAGCAACTACAACCAGATCAAGAGTGTGATGATGAGAATGAGTAGGTGTGTGGACATTTTGGGTAAAGTCATTTGACTATTAAATTATTAAAGGCTGTGCTTGAGCTATCACTTTCAACATCTACATGAATATTGACATCTCCCATTATTATGACTTTATCAGTATTCAGTAGTAAGTCAGACAAAAAAATCTGAGCATTCAGACAAAAACTGAGAATGAGGACCTGGTGGATGATATATAACAACTAGTAAAAGTGACTTTTCTGATTTCCATTTTGGATGAGAAAGACTGAGGGACAGTGATTCAAAAGAATCATAACTAATAACTGGTTTGGCATTAATCAATAATCCTGACTGAAAAATAGAAGCTACTCCTCCACCTCGACCTCGAAATTTTAATAATTAGCAGGAGTGGATTCATTTATACTAACAAACTCCTCCTGTTGTAGCCAAGTTTCTGTCAGACAGAATAAATCAATATGATGATCAGTTATCAGTTCATTAACTAACAGGGATTTAGAGGAAAGAGATCTGATGTTCAATAATCCACATCTAATGATTTTATGATTTTGCTCTGGTAAAGTAACTGTGTTTATTTTAATCAGATTTTTATGGTTTATATTTTTAGAGCTGATTTTTTGTTTATTTAATTTGAGCCGTGGGCGAGTTGACACTGTTTCAATGTGGGTGTGGGTGGGTAACAGAAGAGAAGCAGCAGAGAGGTGTGGAGGACTATAACTCTGCTTCCTGGACTGGACCCTGGGTTGTCAATAATTTGGGGGATAAACAAAATCAGACATATTTCTAGAAAGAAGAGTGGCTCTGTCCAAAGTGGGATGGATGCCATCTCTCCGCATCAGACCAGGTTTTCCCCAAAAAAACTCCAGTTATCTATGTAGCCCACGTCGTCGTCAGAACACCACCTGGACACCCAGCGGTTAAACGACAACATATGTCTAAACATGTCATCGCTGGTCAGGTTGGGGAGGGGCCCGGAGAAAACTACGAAGTCCGACATGGTTTTAACAAAGTCACACACCAAAGCAACATTAATTTTAGTGACCTGCGATTGGCGTAACCGGGTGTCATTACCGCCAATGTGAATAACAGTCTTACTGTATTTAGCCTTAGCCTTAGTCAGCAGTTTCAGATAAGATTCTATGTCGCCCGCTCTGGCTCCCAGAATGCATTTGACTATGGCCGCTGGTGTTCCTAGTGCCATGTTTCAAACTATGGAGCTGCCAATGACCAGGGACTGCTTCTCAGCTGGTGTGTCACTGAGTGAAGAAAATTGACTGGAAACGTCAATGGGTCAGTGGTGAACTGGGGGCTTAGCCTTTGCACTATGCTTACTCAGGACTGTCACCAACTCGACCTGAGGTTCTGGATGCTCGGAAACTGCTGGAAGACCACTAACAGGAGCTAGCCTCAGTGGCTTTGCGCCGCCTATGGGGACTTGGCTAGTTAATGGTTTTTCTATAGCAGTGGTTCTCAAACTGAGGTCATATATATATATATATATATATATATATATATATATATATATATATAAATACAGTAGTCCCTCACTACTTCACGGTTTATTTATTGTGGACTCGCTTTATCGCAGACTCACGCTACCGCAGACTCGCTCTATCGCGGTTTTTCAAAATAAGACTGAACATGACACACAATTGGCTGAATGATGGATGAGCTGCATGATGGACATGGAATTTTTATTTAAAATAAATTGTTTTAAATTATTTAGCACCTGCTGCACCTTTGTGCAGCACTTTGGTTGGCCTTGTTGCTGTTTTAAGTACTTTATAAATAAAGTGGTATGGTATGGTATGGTTTGTGCAGCCCATACTGCAGGATAAATTTCCTGCTGCAGCTGATCAGCTGTTCACCGTGCAGAGCGGAGAAGTGGGTGTGGCCAAGAACGATTGCAGGTGGCAAAGGGCAGACAAGGCAGATAGCTGAAATCATGACATTCTGTGCTCTTTTAGAGCGTTTAGAATTTAGAAACGTTGTTTAGAATATCGCAAGAGCATGGGAAGGGTTTAAAACACCAAATAACCTACTATTTACTGTTTGTAGTACTATTCCTACTTCGCGGTTTTTCACTTATCATGGGTCTTCAGGGTACGGATCCCCCGCGATAAACGAGGGACGAGGCTGTCCACCTGAACTGCTTTTTCTGACTGAACGATTAATGGACCATCCATCTGAACTGCTTCGTTTGACTGGACAGTTCCTGGGCCGTTCACCTTGAACTTTAGCAGTTTTGACTCCTCCTTGTTTCCAGATCTGAAACCCTGAAGTGTTTTTGCTTTGGTATTTTGTGTAGTTCCCTTCTTCCTATGCCCCCCCCCCCCCCCTCCACCCCCAAGTATGTATTTTAGTTGGACTTTGTATCGTCTGGGGATGACCCTTTGAAATGAGGGTATTGTCAGTATCTGTTTTTGGTAATTATTAGTCTTGTGTTTCATTTTGAAAGTTTTTTGATTCTTGTGTTTATTTAATAAATAAGTAATTTTGAGCTCCTCATGTCCTGCCTGGATTTCAGGGTTTAAATATTCAAGGATTGTTACAGAAAGGGGTCCCAGTTCTGTGAAAGAAGATACAATTCTGAAGTAAGATCAGTGTTAAGGCTATGCAGAAATTGGAATGATATTCTTTCCACTCTACAACCACTGAATGGTCAGTCATCCTACAATGGTAGAGTTGAGGGTTTGAAACCACCTGCAGTCACATGTTGAAGTGTCTCTGGGCAAGGTACTAAACCACTAAATGCCTAGTCTCCATACAACTCAGATTAGCTTTGTAGAGTTCTAGTAGAGTTCTGTATGAATGTGTGTGTGGAGGTAAATGAGAGCACAGATTGTGTTGTACAGCACTTTGAGTATGTTGATTAGATAGACAGGCATTATATAAGTGCAGTCCATTTCCATTTAATTGCATTTAAGTTCTAATAAAACTAGCCAACAAACAAAATTTGGCACAGTATTCTATTGATGTATAAATGCATTCTTTTTTTTGTTTTTGTTTTATTGACAGAGTTCCTGGAGTTCATGAAAGGTGTTGAATGAAATCCACTGGATGGTTCTGCTCATTCCAATAGTGGCTTCACTGTGCAACACCATCAGTCAATTCCTGAAGATATGTCTCCACGTTTTTATAACAAGTACCCTCATTTCTGATATTTCTAAACAAGATGTTATGTGAATAAACTACTATAAATAAAGGCACTTCAATGAAAGTGCATTTTGTTTCTCATTGATTATCTTGCTGACCAAACATTATTTACTATATTCCTAAAAAAAAAACCTCTGAATATATTTGTTATTTATTGTGTATGCATACATACATACATATACATACCTACTTACCTATCTATCTATCAGCCCCCGCCACTCGACTTTGGAATAAGCGGAAGATATTTTGTATATACAGTATATATATACATATACATATAT